ACACACACACACACACACACACACACACACCACAAACTGACAAGATCTTTCATCTTCTGTACCCGGGTACTCATTCCCTTCTGTTTGAAGAGAAGGAAATTTGTGTAAAGTGCCTTTCCCAAGCTCACAACGTCGGGCTTTTGGTGGGGGTCAAACCCATGACCTTTCGGTTTCGAACCCGAGAATCTAACCACTAGACCACCGACTTATGTTATTGACCCATAAAATCGGCATGCAAACATTTTAAGAACATTTTTTCACAAGTACCTTTCTTCGAGTTAATTTTTTGAAGATATTCCAAATGTGTGGGTTTGAGGATATACGCTAGGCGCTGCACGAGTTTCGACGAAGTGACGTTTTGGTAGGCCTCCGCCTTCATGCCACTGGCGAACACGTTAACAGAAAAGAAAAACAATAGCACGGCAATCGTTAGTTGCTTATGACTTTGTTGTCTTTATTTCTTTGCCTTAAATGTACTCATGATGTTTCGTTACACAAAAGATTAGAGGGCTCTCGTGGCCTAGAGGTTAAGGGTAAGGTTTGAATCCGGGTAGCGACCGAACAATTTTCTTCTCTAAAATGGTCTCCTTTCACCTACTTTTCTGCTCTCTAGCAATTTTCTGTCGTCTGCTTTTATTTCCTCTTTCTGATCCCACCCCCTCACCTCCTTTGCCCCCTCCTCTGGGCTCCTGGCCTGACTCTTTCAGCAGCCTTTCTACTGCTACTCCTTGGCTCCTTTTTACTGCTGTCTTTCACCCCTGATCTTCTGGTAGGAAAGATCTACACCTAGCCATCTCGGACGAGCGCACCTTAAAGATCCCCTGGTGGTCTAAAATCGATAAGAGTAGGCTTCGGCCGCCACACTGGCAAAATTCAAAATTTCCAACCAGCTGAAAATATTAGGCGAGTCCCGTGCGCTCATATGACCTTATACAGTTGCGAGCGCCGTAAAACACTTACACCCCCCCAAAAAAAACAACAACAACAAACTAACAAAAAACAACTAAAGATTCATTTATTGTCGCTGAATCGTGAGTTTACAATTTGACACGTCAACGGCTATAGTCTCCCCACGGTCACGTTATAAACCCGACCAGAGAAAGAAGAAATTGTTGTGTCGATCTACTAGTGCTTCAGAGGACATCAGGGTCGCGAGGTCATAATAAAGCTGTAAATGTATTCGTAACTGACTTATCTGATGGCTATAAATAGTACAAAAACCTTTGATGGAGATGCAATACTAAGCAAAGTGTTTGGGGTGATTTCGTGTGGGAACATTTGTATTAATCTATATTATGGCAAAAATAGCAGTTGGGTGGATGCTGTAGGTGTACGGACCTAGTTCGATATCTCTGTTTGCCACCCCCCTCCAATTCTGCTCTTGTTTCTGCCCCCTCCCACCTTCCCCTGCTCTCTCTCTCTCTCTCTCTCTCTCTCTCTCTCTCTCTCTCTCTCTCTCTCTCTCTCTCTCTCTCTCTCTCTCTCTCTCTCTCTCACTCTTGTGTATCCCTCTCTCACATCACACGGGGGCGTGGCATGCTGGAAGTATAGATCTTTGTTTCAAAGCTCAGTGGTACGTTGATTTAATATTAAAGACACTCGTTATTTTTATCTTTCAACCCAACCGAATCATGTAAGGGCGATTTAGACACTGTTTTTTCTCCGGTCATGACGTAAACCCCCTCTCTTACTCTCTCTCTCTCTGTCTCTCTCTCTCTCTGTCTCTCTCTCTCTCTCTCTCTGTCTCTCTCTCTCTCTCTCTCTCTCTCTCTTTCTCTCTCTACCTCTCTCCCCACCCCCATCTCTCTTCCCATTCTCTCTCACTCTCCCCGTCTCTATTTGTCCCCCCCCCCTTTTCCCCCCTATCCGATGGATGCTTGTGAATGGATGTATGCGTTGACCTGCTAATTGAAAGCGTAACGTTTTATCGCGAGTAACAATGAATCATATCCGTTTCTACAACAAAAGATAAGAAAGATACCCCCCCCCCCTCCCTTAACCTCCACCCCTATTTTCCGCCGTGACTTGTGGCTTGTATGAGGTGAAGTTAGCACTCTTAATAATAATATTATTATTCACGTATTGGAGCTGCGCCCCCACCCCCACCCCTCTCCCTCTTTTCCTCTCAGTACGTCACGCCCCGGCCTAATTTCCCTGCGGCAACGTAAAGATATCAGCCCTATCTGGACCACAGGGCTCATTTGTAATGTATTATCAATCGACCACGGGCCCTGTTAACACGAGCTATACGAACTCGGAATTCGCGAAATCGCATGCTAACAGTCTGCAGTGACCTTCCTATGTTGGACAAGTCACCTGGAGTCACGCAATTCTCTACGCCCACTGTGTTCATCGAGGTGTCCTTTTCCCACACACGGACTGGGGCGTCTGAAGGTACGAGGGCTTGTGGAAAAAATGAATTAATTAGTGTTCCTTTGTGTGAGAGAGAGAGAGAGTGTGTGTGTTACATGTGTGATAAACGTGTTCTGCCGAAATGTTCTCTGCCGATGTCGGCATTGCATTAGGGCGAATAAAAACATGTGTCAAGTGATGCTGTCTGATACGGATTTTCTTTAAGCTTTGACTACGTTCTGTTGGGATACCACGACTTGCGGGTATTTCAGTTTTAGCGCTATCTGATGTCTAATGTTTTACTTCAGTTATAGCGACTAGCTATTGCGAGGCCTGAGACGGGGTAGGGTGAGTAAAATTGTAGATTGATTAATTTACGACTGTTAAGTTCTCGTTGGCTTGAATTACTTCTGTATTGTGCTGAGATTCTCAGTTCTAAATTTCGGGATGTAAGACGAACAACAGTATGCCCCAAAGGTCTCATGTTTCCGTTGGCCTGTTCATATACCGATCGCAATATCCAGAGATAGCAGCTCTTGTAGGGACTTCCTTTTATCTTTTCGTTCGTGACTCATTTTTCTTGAGAACACTTGAGTTGTTTAAGCCTTAGTAGTAAATCATGTAATATCACCACAAGTTATGTCTGGGTTCTAGGTTAAGCACTGCCCATACTACCTGGACTTAGTTTTTTTGCTGTCGTGTTTATTAGCAAAGTATACATTGTATTTTTTATTAGTCGAAGCACGTGATGTGCTGAAAATGTTATTTCAGATAGGCTCCTGACCTTCCAAATTAAAAATTTTCAATTAGTGGTTTTCAATTACTTAAAATAGGTGGTGTAGTGTGAAATTTTCCAACTGTCGATGTTTGGGTTTGGTCAAACCAGCCAAATCAAAGACACAAGTTATTTAAAAACCAATTCATTATCGTTTGGCAGGTGTATTTAAATCGTACAACAGAACTTGGCCATAAACGCAACTTGTACCTGCTACTTTCATCCCTTTAAAATTGTACAGTTTAAACTTGGCTGGAAGGTGCCCTTGTGCTGTTTCCGACTTGGACAATCTGTGTTGTAATGTACCGACTCGGCATAATACCCATGCCATGGCATTACTTTATGTGCACCAATTTTACCGCCTCTTTGGGTTACTAAATCTATACTTACTGTTTCAAAGATGAGGCATAATTTTTGGTTGTACCATGGAATACTATAATTATTATTAGTTTCTGGAGGATTCTATTTTGACTGCATTGCCGCTAAGAGCCATGTATGTAGTGTTAAATCTCCAGTAAAAATTTTATCTAGACGCTATCATCTGCAAACTATTTGGAAGGATTAAAAAGTCTCTACTCTTTAAAAATTTTTTTCATAGGTCCGTAGTTGGTTCAGTTCATACCGTATTTGACCGCGACGCAAGTAACACAGGTTCAAATCCGCCTGGAGACGTTTCTGGACATTTTGTGTGCAAGCAGTGGTCATAGTGTTTAACCTTAGCCTAACCTTTTAGTAGAAGATTGGCGATAACAATGTCAGTGCGACACCGGCAGACAATCAGAAAACCATCTGCTACAAGCCTGCCCAATGCTGGAAGCTCTTTGTGAGAAATATTGGCTCAATCATAGGCAGGGAGACCCAGAACTTTGGGGGACTGGGAGCCTGGAGAACCTGCGGTGAGCAGCACTAGAGACTGAAATGTCCATTTAGAGATGAACGAGGGAGACGAAGATAAGAAAATTCAACACAATAATTATGTGTCGAATGGCATTCTGTCAAAATTCTACTTTGTCTTCTCTTCCTTTGCCGGCGTCTGTGGTGCAGTGTTTAGGTGTTTCGCCGTCGCACGTAAACGACGAGAGTTCAATTCCCGTGTGAGGAGAATTTGTATTGAGTGCTTCGCTCATTCTTCCGGGATGCTGTATTCCTCTCTGCCTGGGTGGTTCCTAACAGGCAGGGCCGGAGCCTGCTTCCTTAATGATGTAAATTGTGTCGATGGGGGTGTAGACACACCTACAGCCCCCCTTGTGTTAATACTTTCTTCTTCCTTCTTAACATTCTATATTAATTTGCTGTAGGCACCCTTGTTCCCCTCTCTCTCTCTCTCTCTCTCTCTCTCTCTCTCTCTCTCTCTCTCTCTCCCCTCTCTCTCTCCCCCCCTCTCTCTCTCTTGCTCTCTCTCTCACCCTCTTTCTACCCTCTCTCTCTTTCTGCCCCCCTCTCTCTCTGTGTCTTTCTCCTCTCTGTCTCTGTCTGTCTGTCTGTCTGTCTGTCTGTCTGTCTGTCTGTCTGTCTGTCTGTCTCTCTCTCTCCATCTCTCTCCCTCTCTCCCCCTGTCTCTCTCTCTCTCTCTCCCTCTCTCCCCCTGTCTCTCTCTCTCTATCCACATCGGTTCATTACTATCACCGCTTCTTTAAGGTACTTATTATCGTAGTCAAACTCTCACAGAGACAGGTGGAAGATCTTTGACATGGAAATAGTACTCAAATCCCTCATGTACACACAATCATGCCAGTGAAGCATGTCTGATTGCGAAGTCATCGAACTTGTGTGAAGTTCAGTTTCATGATAGCGTAAGTGGTGACACAACAATTGTAGTAATAATAATCTGAAAAATAGGGGGGCGTTTCAGGGCTAAAAACTTGAAGTGTTTGATAGTTTCACAGGAATTGAGATTGCTTTCCAGGTATCCAGATGTCTACGTAGATCAAGATGTTTCATCTGTCTGTTTGCCTACGAAGCGAAAATCGCTTATTTTGTATTGTATCACAGAACCTTATTATTTCATTTTTTGTTTTAGTTAGATTTTGAGAAATCTGCTACGACACTCTGATATTTTTATGACCCCGTACCCCCACACTCATACAGTCTTTAAAAGTATGTAACTCCTTTTTGCAAATGATTATGGTCTAGTGCCTTCATAGTATGTCTAAGGTCATACTTGCAGCTTATCTAATAATGTATATCCACTAGTAAAAATTATGATGTGAGAAGAAGACCAAAAGCGTTAAAAAGAAAAAAAAAAAGTTTATTTTATTTAACCTCACTTAATGGTACTGAGGGAACTAGGATCCAAGATGGAAGTGAATGCCATCAATAAATATTCGGTATGAAATACATTATCCTTGTTACAAAGTTTTTGAAGATCTCTTCCCCACCTTGTGAGGCTGGCGATTGGGCTGCAGTGAATTTGTATAACTTGATATGCCACACAAAAGGACGAGGTTCGTACCTGTGAATAGACTCGTGATCTAAACAGCAGCAACAAAACAACCACAAAAGCAACTACAACAACGCCAGCAACAACATCAACAATAATAATAGCAGCAGCAACATAACAGCAGTAGCAACAACAACAACATCAGCAACAACATCAACAATTATAACAACATCAGCAGCAGCAGCAGCAGCAGCAGCAGCAGCAGCAGCAGCAGCAGCAGCAGCAGCAGCAGCAGCAGCGGCAGCAGCAGCAACAACGTCAAAATCGAAACAGCAGCAGCAGCTGCCAGCTAAAAACAGCAACAATAGCAACAACGACAAACAGAAGAAGCAGCAATAGCAAATCCTATTGGATACAGCGTGTTTTGGGCTGACACTGTGCTGCACGGGATATAAAACTCTACGCAAACAAGCAAAACACAGGAGGCGGATCCTGAGAATTCCTCCCTACACTTGCGGAAGATTTACCTTGAGCCCTCTCCTCTGCCAGGGCGTCAGGGAAAAATCTCTTCCAAATACAGATCTAAAGAAGGTGATTTCTTTCGCAAAAGTTCTATATTTAAAGTTCAAGACTTGACTTTCGACTCCGTACATTTTTCATTGCGTTAAAGTGGTGTGAATAGAGCAGAGAATCTGACAACGAACCCGATAACTTATCAGGGCCGTCTGCTTGATCTATCAAAAGCTGAAGAGGCTGCTTTCTAAGAGGGCTATTGTCCTTGATATGGGTAAACTGGTTGATATTGTGAACTGCAAGTAGGCTTTACAGGGGACAGTGACACTGGCGATGTTGTAAGTAGAAAAAAAGTAGTTCTTTGATTTGGTATGAATACGTAGGGGTGGTGCCTTCGCCGTTCTTCACCTCCTGCCAGGCTTTCTTTTCACTCTTTTGTCAACAAAATGTTTTCTTTAGCAAAAAGTAGGGCCACGACCCTTCTCAAAGAAGGAAATACCTTCGAAGGGATTAATTTAGGCCTCTTGTGGTTTTTATCTAATTGTAAAACAGAAGTGCGTTTAAACTTTTAATTAACTAAACAACAAAATAGATGTACATGTTGCTGAACAATTGAAGCGCCTGGCTTGTTTCCTGCCCCTCAGGTGTTCCGGATTAGGTTTCAAGGAGTGAGTGACTTAAAAAAAAAAAAAGAATAAACGTTTGTCGTCCTTTGGTGACGGAACTCGTGGTCATGGTATAGATCTATCACTGAAATAACAATTTTTGTTCAACACACCAACTACTGTAACTGAAAGAACCCCATTTCAAAAGATTTTGTCAATGTAGGCTTTTTTTCTTGACATCAGATTTCCACACACTGTATTTAGTACGAATTTCATAGTGGTCTTCTTATGCGAACTTTTCACTGGCCACAGCTTTGGAATTTTATCTGTCAAGCAGACACTGAAAAGATAGGAGCCCTGTATTGTCATGTTTGATTGCGGCGTACAGGTTTCATTCAGGATGTATTGTCCTTTGCCACTCCCATTACTCTTTACGTAAGTATTTTTTGTCAGACAGTTGATGGGCAATCTCACAAGTGAACTTATTTAACTAAAAAAAACCCCACAAACTTTTTCTGCCCTCTTATACCACGGGGTGTCGTTACAAAGTACCATGATGTAGCATTACAAAGTTCTATCTGCTCGGTACTCACTTTTGAAAAATTGATAACGGCTCCGAGTAGTTTTACGATTTTGATAGATTAAACTTTGTAATTCTAAGGCATGGGCCAGGAATGTTGCAGTTTGGATCGCCACCTTGAGCACCGATATGAATTATGCATAGATAGATCACGTGTCATGTGGCATCTTACAGTGACGTAACACTCTTCACAACAAGCCGTAGATTTTCCCAGCCGTTCGTGAATTTGTAGATAACAGCCACACTTTGGCAAGGATGGGTTACATTTATTTGTAATGGAGAGAAGAAGTAGAAGGAGCTGACAGCACTAAGAACACTAGCCTTACACCATATTATTACAAACAGATACAGAGAGGGAGTGTGTGTGTGTGTGTGTGTGTGTGTGTGTGTGTGTGTGTGTGTGTGTGTGTGTGTGTGTGTGTTTGTGTGCGTGTAAGAGAGAGAGAGAGAGATAGATAGATAGATAGATAGATAGATAGATAGATAGATAGATAGAGAGAGAGAGAGAGAGAGAGAGAGAGAGAGAGAGAGAGAGAGAGAGAGAGAGAGAGAGAGAGAGAGAGAGAGAGAGAGAGAGAGAGAGATTGCGACTTTTTTCTCTGCCTTCTAGTGTTGATCTTGCCAGCGCTGTACAATGTTTTGCTTATCTCTCAGTCATTTGCTTTTCAGTTCATGTCAAACTATCTGTGCCTGTTTTTGTGTAACTGAGCATTATATAGAGGGTCTGAGGATGGGGGTGTATGTATTTGTGACTATTAGTGTGGATAGAAATTAATTATTTGTTTGCTCGAGCAGTCCAGTGTCTTTGTGTTTGAGAAGTTTGCCACCTCAACAGTATCCGGTAGTATTTTTTTTGTTTAGGACGTTTGAACTTTTCCTATACATGTACCTCATAAGAACAAAAAGTTTAAAACAACAGCAGCAGCAGCAGCAGCAGCAGCAGCAACAACAACAACAACAACAACAACAGCAACAACAACAACAACAACCAAACTGACAAACTACAACACCCAGATCAAACTGCCATTTCTTTTCACCCAAACCTGAGAACAAAAAGAAAACTTCATCCCATCAACAAAGACACTCTCTGCTGTTGGTGCAGACGAACTGCACAGTGTCACGGACATTATAAAATACTTGTAAAAGAATTGAAATTACCAGTTTTCTATCCACCTATAGCATCACTTACTCAACTGCTCTCGTCTTTCTCTATAACATGCTTGAATCTTCATTACTCCTCTATCTAAAAAAATCTATTTAGGTGACAGTCGCAGAAAGCAAATTAAGTGAATCACTTATTGTAAATAACGCAGAAAGCGTGCGTTTGTCAGATGTAAGCTTGATTCAACTTTACGAATATGATACCGGTATGTACTATTTTTTTGTTTGCAAATCAGACTTTTTTTTGGACCAAGGGATGTATTAAAAAAATCCCACTTTCAGTCAGTATTCTGCTCAAAGACTCTGTACCAAATTTTTAGTTAAATGAACAATATGGTATGAGACGTAAACAAACTCCATTACAGGCAGATCTAGCCCTGTCGACAGACAAGGTTTAGGGCTTGAAGTATGCTGTTTGCACAACTTCGAAGAACGAAGCACGTGTGAAGTACTCTCTGACGTTTCCCCGTATGCTTTGACGAACCCATAAAACAAGCGTATTATGTGGGTTACAATGTGTAGTTCGCAGCCGATGAAACGATACATTATATGATGACAAGTTCTTGGGTGTATACATACCTTTTATGCAAATGTGATAGACAAACACGCAGTTGTCTCAAGGAAACGCGCAACTAAAAACGACAGGGCATGTCACAGCAAGTAAGATTAGGCCTAGATTTTACAGCTGTTGTTAGTCGCTTTGTTTAAAAAGAATTCTTCCAGAAGACGTGCACTGCACACTTGTGTGAAATAATTGCTTCGAAATGATTTTGTTGATACTTTATGTATATCTATAATTGTTCGACCGTTCTGGCGCAAACTATAATAAAACTGACATTTAGATATATTATGTTTTCCGCTACTTTTTCCAAAGTATTCAGTCCCCTAAATGTTATTGTCTGTGATTGTACCCTATAAAAATGTCCCAAATGTGTGTGTCAGGGGCAATATTTACAGTTAGTATGTTGCTTTGTCTCCCATATGATCTCAGTTCTGTCGATGGGAGTATAAAACTAAGTAAGTCCAAAGTACAATTTTCCAGATGGGTTTGGCATTATGAAAGGTACAACAGGCTATTCGCTGCGCTCCAGCATTAGTACGAACAGCAAGGTGAAAATAATTGGTTGCCTGTAACCATAAGTCAGACGCTCTCTCGTGACTTCGAGAGTGATCAAGATCAACCTGTATGGGTGAAGCAGCTGATGACATTATTGACTGCGGAACACTTTCGGGAAAGCGACGATAGTAGTCTTCTTGTCCCGAACAGCCGAAGAAGAAGACGGGGTTTCGGCTAGGAACTGAATGCCCTCCGGTTTTCGGCCATATTTCCGAAATTAACTGCTCTGGAGATGTATTAATGATCAACTTTGATCTGAATCTGTCTTCATGGTCATTACTATTAAAACACTATTGATAAAATAGTCATAAAAACGAAAAAAAAAAGACTCTAAAGAATGATATGCCATTTACTTTGGGATGCAGACCTAGATCTAATGTTCAGGATAAGAGGTTAGGAAAATTACATACTGCATCTTTATCATTTCAATTCGATGTATTTCCAGAAAAAAAATTCTTCTCGGAACTGTTTTGAAGGCAAGATAATAACTTCAAGAACAGTTTTGAGCCACAAATATTAAGCTTAACAGGTTGGAAAGGATTAGAAGGTTGGGGGGGGGGGGGGGTAAACAATTTGTCTGATCCGTAACAGGGAGGGACGGGGTGCCTTTAGCACGATAACCTGAAGCTCAGGGCTTTTTCTATTATGTATTGCTTTCCACCGCCACGATAGTCGCGACTTATTGATGGGTCTTGCTGTCTTTTCAGTAATTGTACGTTGTTTCTCGGACTTTTCTGCAATAAAACACTCTGCTTCTCGGCATCCTGTGTTCCTGGATTGTTTCAGTTTGTAGCCAGAATGTTTTGCCCGGTTCCCGTGTTCTGTTAGGTCTTCTCTCTCCTCTCTTGCCTTCTATCTCTGCTTCCAGAATAATGTTTCTCGAGTAAGGCGTTGGATATGCTGACTGTAGTTCACTTTCAGTTTTATTACATGCTTGGGGATTGTTGGTGTTTCTAAACCTATTCTTTATAGTACTTTAAAACATATTTTCTCTGTCCAGGAGATAAGGTATTTTTTAAGATCAGTACTATTTCATTTGGAAAGCTGTGATCTTTTTATTTTTGGTCATAGGTGTATGGTCGATACTTCACGCCCATAATTACGACGGGAATAGGGCACTACTTTGAATTCTTACATTTGTTTCTTTATGGTGTCTTTTCCAACTGAATATCATCTTTTAAAACTTTGATGACGCAATCGGAATTCTCGATTTAATCCTTGGGCTGCTTTCCATTTTTGTGTGTCAATCCTGGCTCACAGTTATTCAAAACTGGTTGCTCTATCTATTTCTTCCCCGTAAGTTCTTTGCACTTTTCTCTGTTCGTGATTTTGATCATCTTCACAGTAAATTGTAATCCTTTTTGGTCACTGAGTTCTTCGACATATTATTTTATTAATTTCTTTTGTCATCATGGCGTTGTGGCAAGGAGTGCATAGTCATCTGCAAATATTTGGTCTCTTAAATGCATTTGTGGGTGGTTGGAGGTAGGTCCGCTGGTAGGTCCTACTTCTTTACTTGCTCTTGTTGTTTCAGTCTGTCTGTCTTACTTTTTCCCCATTACTAACTACGACCGTTATCGAGTCGTTGTGTTTCGCATAAATTAAGTAAAAGAGCAAACAAATAAAACAAATTAAATGTAGATCTATTCCTTTTATTGCAGGTTCATCATATTCATCTTTTCTTAAGTCATGTGTAACACATCTACTTAAAAAAATAAAAATAATGCATAATTTCATTCTATTCATCCCTATGGGTAAAGGCATGAATAATACACAATGTCGCAAACAATCACAATCCACACACATTTGCTGGGCACGAATTCTTTTGAGCAAGGGTTATAGTGTGTTGTTCAGGAAACACCCCAATGACCCCTGTATACTGCTTTTGGTTGTTGTTTTTCTGCGCATAATAACTTAAAGGAATCTGCGAATTCAAGTCGTTCGAGGAATGTTAAAGGGGTAAGATGACACTGGAAACGAGATACATATTATATATAATGTCACCGGGCGACGCAAATTGCAAATATGAAACCTTCGCAGATAACGAAATGTGTAAAATGCGAAAAACAAGTGTTCGAATCCCCCCCCCTCCCCACAACCCCACGGTTTCCGCCCTTTCTCGCAGAAGACTGGAGTTCTATTCTCGTTTGGGGGTACTTTTCTGTAAGTGTCTCGATCGTTTTTTTAAGTTGGGACGTTGTATCCCTCTCAGCTCACAAGCTTGGAAGAAAGGTGTAAGTTGTGTGTGCGTGTGCGTGTGCGTGTGCGTGTGCGTGCGCGCGCGCGTGTGTGTGTGTGTGTGTTTGTGTGTGTGTATGTGTGTATGTGTGTGTGTGTGTGTGTGTGTGTGTGTGCGTTCGTCTTTTTTTACTGACCATAACTACTTAATCCCAACAGGACCTAGACCCGTGTAGAAACACAGCACCATGGCTGAACGGTTCATCGCAGCGGCCAAAGATGGCTACGTGGACCTTCTAAAGGAAGCGACCAAACGCGACCTCAACTACCCAGACGAGGATGGAATAACGGCCACCATGTGGGCAGCTAGGAATGGAAACCTGGAGGCTCTCCGACTTATCGTAGGACGACAGTGAGTTACGCACATACAGACACTTATTTTTTACTTTTACTTTTTCTTCCTCTGTTGCCGTTAAGTGTCGAGGGGAGATGTAGTTTTCTATGATAGGCCAGTTTCGCAGCTCTTTCGGTTGTGATGTTATGTTTTCTCAGGGTTTCCTTGACACCCTCGATCCACCTTTAGTGTGGCCCTCCTCTTCCTCTACAGCCTGAGTGCTTGGTGTTATAGGCTCTCGAGGCTGGCTGGCCAGGTGACATACGTAACAGGTGGCCAAACCATTTTATTTTCTGACTTTCTATGTTATGCAGGCATGACTCTTCATTTCTCTGCCTGTCTCGTCTTGGAGACATTTCATTTCGCATGCGGTGAATTTGCTTTCGTAGGTTTTACTTAATGTCCAGCATGGTAGCACAATGTTGGTATGAATATTGAGGTGATAAGGTGTCTCTTTGTGTCCATACAGACACTGACACACATAAATACACACACATAAATACACACACATAAACACACATACACACATATGCACACATAATTACACTCACATAAACACACATACACACGCATACAAATACAAACGAGTGTGCACGAGTAACTTTCGGTTTCTTTCACTCTATTTTCTACTTAATAAAAGCAAAAACGTTTTCGAAATTTGGTTTGCACAATCTTAAGACTCACACTATAAAACAGAGCAGTATGATTTTTAAGCCAACTGTAATAACGTCGTTAAACAGCATTTTCTGCGCCATTTTGTTGTTTTGATATGATCAGTCAGCACACAAATCTATGATAATGATATGCTTTCTACTAACTCATTTTTTCCTTATTCTGTATTTATTGTCATCTTGCCCTGAGCTCCACACCCCTCTTTGCTCAATAATATTTTGCGTTGGATTTATGGTTGTTATCTCTTAAAGATTGAAAAGGAAGTTTTGGTTGTGATAGGTTTACGATGTGGTTTATCTCTCCCCTTCTTTCTCTTTTTCCCTCTGTGTACTTTTTTGTGTAAGTGTTTTACGGTGCTCGCTACTGCATAAGGTCATATGAGTGCGGGACACACCTAACATTTTCAGGAGGTAGGAAGTTTTGAATTTTGCCCGGGTGGCGGCCGAAGCCTACTCTTAACGAATTTAGACCACCAAGGGATCTTTATCGTGCGCAACTTGCACACAGGACCTCCGTGATTTTTCGCCCTTTTCCGAGAAGGCTAGGTGTAGATCTTTTCTGCCAGAATATCAGGGGTGTGGCTGAAAAACAGCAGTAAGGAGCCAAAGAATAGCAGTAGAAAGGCTGCAGAAAGAGTCAGAAGCCCAGAGGAGTGGGCAAAGGAGGTGAGGGGGTGGGGACAGTAAGTAGTGACGAAAGCAGACGACATTACATTGCTAGAGAGCAGGAAAGGAAGTGAAAGCAGACAATTTTAAAGAAGATTCTTTTTTCGGTCGCCACCCGAATTCGAACCCGGGGCTTTTGAATGAGAGACGAACTTCTTAAACTTTAGTTGCAGTCGTGTCCGGCGAAGGCTTTGTTGTTCCCAGCTGTAAAGAAAAGGAATTGGTTTTCGACCCTTTACAAACAATTGTTATATCTAGACATGATTTTTCAAACTGCAGATATAGCGTGCTAGCGTTTTAGCAAAGCCACCCTTCTTACACAGGTGACCCAGTCTTTTACGAGGCTGGTGACACGGATACATTTTGAGATCAACCAACCCTCTATAGGACAGACTGGATTACGCTTAAAGAAATAACACAGGTGTTAAACATGATTCGAATCCAGGTCGCCAGCATTAAGTTCACTGCTTTTGCTCGTGAGGAAGCAGCGTGAAAAACATGGGATACCTTCTAGCAAAATAATGGGTTTTTTAACATTGTTTCAAAGTCGACTTCCTTTCTCAAATCTTTGAGTTCAATAACTTGAGAACAGGTTAACCTGAAATGCTCGATCGAGGGATTTTGACGATAACAAAAGACAGTCATTTTTATTAATCCCCGGTAAACAGAAAAATCTCGAATGTTCCAATAAAGTTATCTCATGTCATGTTGTTTTCTTGTTCACCCCCCCCCCTCCTACCCCCACACCAAAGGGCAACATAACCGTAACCGGAACGTGTTGACTGACAGACTGAAATGCTTTTTTTAAAAAACCGTGTGTGTGTCTGTGTGTGTGTGTGTGTGTGTGTGTGTTTGTGTGTGTGTGTGTGTGTGTGTGTGTGTGTGTGTGTGTGTGTGTGTGTGTGTGGGTGTGTGTGGGTGTGGGTGGGGGGTCTTGGATGAAAAAAAAACAACAACCAGGTGACAGTGGTGAATTTAAAACAGAGTAGGAAAGGTTAAATGCAATGTGATGTTTTTGTACAGAGACTCAGAGGTAGACGACATGTAATCAATTCAATTTACAAACACATTTTTGCCCAATCAACCTTATCTACTCGATGTGTTGAGGAGAAGACTTTTATTCTTTTGTTTTGTTGTGCGGAATATGTTTAACATTGAAGGTCTTTTTGTCATGCAGTTGAAAGTTAGACTAATTTTACCCAATCGAATTCGATTTCTTAGGATCTTAGGAACAACTTGCTAATTGTCTTTTTTTTCTTGGTCGAAGGGTCCGATTTTCTGCGAGAATAACTTAAACTTAAACCTAGCACTGACTTGCTAATGTTGGGGAGAACATTAAATTTAATTTGTGACGTAATGCCGCTGCAGCTATTAATAGTGGGTTTTTTTTCTACATGAGCCATTAATCAATTGAATTACTCTTCTTTTTTCTACAAATGATTGTCATTTGTACGTTTATATTTGACTGTTTTATTAGAGATTATGCGTCCCTGACGCTGACTCAGCAAGTCGAACTAGTACTTACCCACCTTAATAGTTTGAGAGCTGAAGCACACAGTGACACTATCTGCTTCTTGTGCATAGTCGCTTGTTCAGCAGGCAGTTATGACTCTCAAGTTCTGAAAACGACGATAATATCCTGTTCTAGTTTCTAAAGATTGGCTTCCTAGAAGTGATTGCTGGCACATTAGACACACCCCCCCCCCCTCAAAAAAGAGGGGAAAAAAAACAACAACAACCGCACATACACAAAAAAGCCCAGCCCTAGTCAAAAGCCGTGGACCATTGCTTCCTGATTCCTTATGTTTTGTTTTATTTTGAATCTTACATAATCGCACGCCAAGATAAGGGAGAACAAAAGTTAGTTATTGTACCTTTATCAGTACAATTCTTCTGTTTTGACTTTGTGCCCCCCCCCCCCTCATTCTTTTTCTAAAAGACAATCAGAATAAATGCGTGCGAAGAAATGCTGGTGGTGGTGTTGGTCGTGGTGGTAAAGGAGGAGGAGGGGAGGAGGAGGAGGGGTAGAAGGATGATGGTGATGGTGGTGATGATGACCACGACGACGACGACGACGACGACGACGACGACGACGACGACGACGACGACGACGACGCTGCTGCTGCTGCTGCTGCTGCTGCTGCTGCTGCTGCTGCTGCTGCTGCTGCTGCTGCTGCTGCTGCTGCTGCTGCTGCTGCTGCTGCTGCTGATGATGATGATGATGATCAATGGTTGATAGTGAAAATGACATTTACAGTAGTCAAAACAATAATGAAAAGAAACATAGAAGAACTGTAGGAGTAGCAACAACAACAGCTATGATAATAACAACAATAACAACAACAACAACAACTACAATTACAACAATAACAAACCAACCACAGTAGTGTCACCACCAACAACAACCAAAAACGGGCTATGAAAACCGCAAAGCCATTACAAAATTATTAACAAAATTCCCACCCGCCTTCGAAAATCTGAAAAAGTATAAAAATGTGCGATATATGCATTCTCGTTCTCCTACTATAATTCCCATTTGGGTTATCTCTTAGCAGTTTTGGTAGCAGCGTAAAAAATGAAACTTTATTTTATTATCTTGTGTTCCTCATGACAAAGCAAACACACCGTTGCAGGTACTGCCCTGTACGCACGACCGATGGCCATAAAAGCCGTATCACGATCTGATACAGACGTCCCAGTAACAATTCTACATCTGCCAAATGTATTTATGATTTAGCTGTTACCTTAGTTACATCATACTAGAATACCAAGCGGACGGCCTTGGTTCGAATCTCCAGCTGGGCGTTTTTGAAGTGGGATCATTAAAAATTTGATAGAGTTTTCAAGGCTAATAACCCATTTGGCTAGGTCCTATCGGAGATTGACGTTAAATTAGGTGGTCCCTTATCTGAAACAAATTAATCGTGTTGAAAAGGGTGTTAAACCCATACTATACATACGTAGCCATTAATCAAATTCAAGATAATTTCTTATGATATTTGTATCACGATTCTGACGCCTCAAACACTGTGCTAACGCTCTCAGGTCTGTTGCCGTTTGGAGTCACAATCCTCAACCTCTCCCTCCCGCCACTCAACACATCCGTGGCCCGTACACTAACGCACACTTTCACAGAGACTAATACACAATGCATACACATGCACACACGCACGCACAAACACACACACACACACACACACACACACACACACACACACACACACACACACTCAATGCAGATACACACAGACACGCCCACTATACAAGAGCCCCAATGTGAAAGTGCCATTTACTGTATTTTGTCAGTTGTGAATACCTGGCCGCCACGTTGAGAGAAACATGTTGTCTTCAGTGTATTGTTCTGCCTATATGCGCGCTCTGTCAAGTGCAACCTGAAGACCTCAGGCTACATCTTGACCCCCGCCAAGTTCTTCTAGCTGTTATCGTTATCTTGCGTCTGACCAAGGAACTATTCAGATCCTTCACATTTGTTTGCTTAGCTATTCTTCTCACCAGTTATTGCATGTTTAATGACAGCTGGGTATTTCGATACAATGTTACAAACATATAGAATGTTATTTTGACGTTGTTTTTGCCCCCCCAATTTCCCTCACGGAACTGTTTCTTAAATATCATTGTGTCAGGAATTGAGCTCGAAAAGTGTTTTTTTTGTGATCTCGC